ATATATATATATATATCAAATTTTATATATATATATATACATATATAATATATATCAAAAAGCGACACCCAAAAAATCGAAGAAAACTCTGAGAATCTTGTTTAAATATTTGTATTACTAATTGTGTACCTATGGCATTTAAAGTTACAATAATTATTATATGACGTCTTACTCTACACTTAATGAAAACAAGAGACTGATGTTTCTGTAATGCTAGCTTCTTCGCTTCATTAAAATATAGTAAAAGTAACTTCCAGTTAGTTGTAAAAGTAGTTTTTTTGTAAACAAAGACGAAAAATACAGTTAATCGGAAAACGGGCTACGGACTCAATTGAATGTTTTTCAAGAAAATTATCGTAAACTTTTCTCTCATAAAAAAAAAAAAAAACAGCTCTTCACGAACGTCATTAAAGATGCTCCTTCGAAGAAAAAAAAAAAGAACAAAGAGCAAAACTCCTCATTTATTGCACAAGCAAACTCTTTTCTTTTTCGTGCCTCGCCGTAAAGATTTAATCGCGAGAAAAGAGAACAGCACACGAAGAAGTACGAAATGCTTCGATCTCGCGTGGAATCGAATGGACGATCGTTTTCGCAGTTTTACTGCGAAAACGATTGCAACGGTAAGCCTTTTGTCAACCTGTTGCGCGACACACACTCACACATACTCGTACACATACACATATATGTATATGTATAAATATATACACATACACACATATATATTCACATTGTGCTTCTCTATCTTTCCCTCTCTCTTTCTTTCTCTTTCTCTCGTTACGTCTCTGTGTATTTTATATGTATTGTTGCGTATATCTTTATATTGCATCCTGTGAGAACGCTAGTGTATTCCTATTCCGGAGAAAAATCTATACTCGCAGCATTCACGTGTATTTCTTTTCTATACATTTAACACTCAAGGGAGAGTTTTCGCCTGCACTCGATGCCGGCACGATTTTAATCCCTTGATCTTCAAGGGACAACGGTATGTAAAAAAAAAAAAAAAAAAACTATTTCGTGGAGTTTTGTTTTTTTTTCACGTATTGACGAAATGACCGAAAAAATCTCGTCGCAGCAGCGCAAAAACAATCAGCACTTTAAATGGTTACATAAGTAGAGTGTGAGTTACATTAAAATCATCGACGCTGATTCTGAACGATCATTATATTTTTCTTGACCTTTTGATTGTTTAAAAAATCATTTCGAAATCGATAATTTGTTAAATTCGTACCGATCAAGTATGGTCGTTAATCACGAAATTTCGATTATTTTAATGTAAACAACATTAACCCCGATAATACACGTATAAAAGATTGATATTCTCTTAAAAAAACGATAGTGCAATAAGTATAATTTTTTGATATTTATTATTAACCTTTTCACTGCTCGTGTAATGAACATTGTTGTCAGTATGTATTATATTAACCCATTTGCATCACAAAGAAAAGTCAAAAATTCGTTCTTATCGCCAAAATTTTTTTTTACTGTATTTAAATTTTAATGAAAATGTTACAAAATATGAAAAAAAAAAAAAAAAAAAAATTTTCGTAATATGCGCTTTGGTGATAAATGCCTAAGTAAAATGCGCGCATATATGCGCTCTGGTGATAGTGGCCAGGCAAAATGCGCGCATATATGCGCTTATGATGCAAATGGGTTAATACATAGATTTTAAATTAATTATTAAAAGTATAATATATATATAAACGCGGACAAATAATTGTCACGTCGTCGCAAACACATTCGACACTTTAATCAAGACGTTTTTGTCATAATCATATTGCGAGAAACAACAGCGCAGTAAAAGGGTTAATTTCCCAGTCACTCGTAATTGATCACGTCAGATTATGTGTGTGCCACACCTAGTTTTGGCCGTGCCGAACTCACGTATCCGTTTCAAGCAATATCACCCCGAGCGCAATTCCCCCTATACGGCACCTCACCGCAAACCTTCCCGTATAATTCACACAGACAGAAAGTAAACAACACCTCTAAACACATTGAATTTCAACGCATAACGTTCCAATTGCAACTTTGCCGCTGCGACGATATAACGAGGGGTGCGAACAATTTACGCGATATATATCGTAACTTTCGGGAGTGTAACTGTTCAAAAATTCGCGAATTAAACGGCGAACTACCAACTATAAACTGTTTGAACATCGCAGCGCTTTGTCCAATTTGTTTATATTTTTTTTTTTTTTTTTATATACACGTAAAACTTTGCCATATATATTTTATATACGATACATTTGACGAGAATAAATAAAAATTATCGAGTCGGTGAAAATGTCGAGTGTGCGAATCGATCGCGGCAGTTCGACTCATCATCATCGAGTGCAAGCTTCGCGGGAACACGGGGTTGGGGATACGGGGCGATCGTCTACGCCGACGATAAAGCGATTCGCTCGAAACGTTGCAGTGACGGCGGAACCCCAGATAAACGGGGATGTCACCGGCGGGGATTCGAGCGTCGCGTCGACACCGCCGTCGCAGACGGCGCAGGCACCGGCGCCGGCGCCCGCTACGCAGACAAGTCCGTGGTTGGACGACGAACCGGTGGTGAAGAGCCCGCCGGAACCAACGAGGGTAAAATCGCCGGAGCAAATGATCATGCGCTCGCCGGAACCCGTAAACTGGACCGTACCCCTCGACACCGGCAAAACGTTCACTGTCACGCAAAACGTCCGGGAAGGTAAGATGCTGATTATATCGATGAAAAAAATAGGTATTGTAGAAAAGGACCTCCTAACTAATTTTAAAATATTGCGAACAAAACTCCTCAGCCAGGAGTCGAACCTGGAATCTCCGGCTTTCTGGGCCGTCGCCTTCCCTGTCAGGCTACCGAGGCATTTGGAGTTCGTCTCGCAATACTTACAAGGGGAGACTACGACGATGGAACAATCGATTTGGACGACATTTGTAGGATCGATAGATGATTATGTGGAGTATTGCAGGGTAAAGTAATAAGACGCACTACTCAAGCATTCACGAGAAAATTGAATTTGAAAATATTGAGGTACCTTATGAGAATATTTTACCCTGCAATACTCCACATAATCATCTATCGATCCTATAAATGTCGTCCAAATCGATTGTTCCATCGTCGTAGTCTCCCCTTGTTAGTACACATCTATCGAATATTAATCTGATAATAACGCCATCTTCCACCAGCGTAAATTTTAAATTAATAATAACAAGAAGAAGATTCTTCGAGCTCATATATATATATACTACCATGATCAAAAAATAACCGGAATTTTTAATTTAAACCTCGCGGGCTTATCGGTTTAGAATTCTGTTGTTTGTGTCACGTTG